CCCCCCCCCCCCCCCCCCCCCCCTTACAGCAGGGACAAATTTAACTTAAAAGAAACAAGTTTATCATTTTAAATAAGAATAATTGAGCCATCATTGCACTGTGGTTCCAGAAAATATCCATACCCCCTTGGGGGTTTTTCCAGTTTGAACCCCCCCCCTTTTGCAGGATTTTCTGCTCCAAGGGGCTTCACAGTACTCCCCCCACCCCCTTCTGTAATTGTTATTAAATGTCTATTTTTTTCCATTGCATGTAGATAAACTTAATCATAATTCTTTTAAATTGAATTCATTAAATGTATATCATTTAATTATTCCAAGGCAAATAACACTGATCTTTCATCTCATTTCCTTGTCTGCAAACAATGTCCTGATGACACACGCTCGTTAATGATTGTATATTTAATATAGCCATCATTAATGGTGTGTTTCATTGGATGTACATGTACAGTGTAATAACTACAGGAGTTCTGACAGGTTGCGGGAAAAAATTAAATTGTATTTAAAAAAAAAAACTATAGCTGACTTATCGATGTTTGATACCACTAATGACCATATCTTAATTTAAAAGCCATGATCAAATATATATATATTTTAACACATGCAGTTGGTCTGTAAACATCCCATGCATTAGTATTGTAGTGTAACCAAGTCTGTAGATATTTCGCATGCAATATTTGTCCTGTCTTTGTTTTCCTTGATTTTATTGATGGTGAACCATTCATGTTTCTCTCCATTTCATTCACAAGCTTAACTCCAGTCTTACACAGTGGCTAATGTTAAAACAGTACATGTATACATGTGACTATTTGTTATGTGTTTTTAATGTCTTTACGTGACTTGTTCACTGTTCAGTTTGGATGCACTTGATCCGAATGCCTATGAGGCATTTCAAGCATCTAATAACCTCAGTGATGTTGTACAGCGTTGCCTGCAAAAGAAAGAAGCCAAAGCAAGTGTTTTACCAGGAATGAGCAAAAAACTAAGCATCAGAGCTTCCTTGATGACTCCTGTCAAACCAATGTTGGTATGTTTCTTTGTTACCAGATGGTTAGAAGCAGTGTTTCAAGATCTTATAACGGAACTATGAACTACACAATACCACTGGATTGATTTTGGACATTTTCCCAGGCAGAAGCTTGTAAGAGTTTTTCACAAGCATTGAAGAAATGTCCAAGTGGAATGTATGCAGAGATAAAATATGATGGAGAGAGAGTTCAGGTATTTTGTAAAAACATAATTCAGATCGATGTTCAAATAATGCTTTGGTAATTATTAGTAGTAAAGGTAAAAAGGTAGCAGAAGAGGAGGGCAGCATTCTCATCTGCAGCAAGGAGGTCACCATGGTAGCCCAGACACAGTCCACCTCCAGGCACCTGTCATTATAGCACTTTGAAAAAACGGTGTGTGGAAGATATTCTTACCCAAGTGAGAGGGAGGGAGGGAGAGAAAGCCAAAAAAGCAAACAAGCCAGACGCCACAAGCAAAGCACATGGCTCACGGTGGGTGTCTGGAAAACCCGAATAGCGAATAGTTGTGAAAAGCGACCAGCGAATAGTCTCGAATAGCAAATAGCGACTAGTGCGAATAGTCTTGAATAGTGCAAATAGGGGCGAACAGTCTTGAATAGTGGCAAATAGTAGCAAATCGTAGCAAATAGGGTACCCAGTATCTCGCAGTCAACCTCGCTGCAACGTAGGATGGGATTTTCCTGCTAAAAAACACAGATGCTTATCAGGGCAAAAGGTGTTTATAAACGTAATAAGTGTAAATATGTCTTTATTGGGTTATCCTTGTGTTTTCTGTTTTCTTTATGTCGGCGATGGACAGCCCTGGCCTGAGTCCAGAGAAGAAAAGGTAATAAATTCACTGAAATTCTGTTGCTTATTTGGATAATTAATTAACGCAGGATGTTATAGATCTAAAGCGGTGACTACTGACAACTATTCGTCACTATTCGCCACTTTTCGCGACTGTTCGCCACTATTCACACTATTTGAGACTATTTGCACTATTCGGGACTATTTGCTATTCGTTATTCGCAACTATTCGCTATTCGCTATTCAGGTTTTCCGGACACCCACTCCTGGTACCCCCACTTACCAGATAGACCGCTGGCCAGCATCGGCTTGATTTCAACTGAATGCAAATTTCGTTTAGCCCCATTAAATTAAAGGCTTTCACTAGAGGTTTGTCTTGGAGAAAAAAGTCTATAATATGTAGTATTCTACGTGTGTTGGCTCCCAGTAAAAAGTGCTTTCTACCATTGATTTTTTTCATTAGTTCCTATCCTCTTTAATTCCACTTGACTTTCAAGGTTCACAAGAGTGGCAGTGAGTTCCAGTTTTTTAGCCGCAGCCTCAAACCTGTTGTTTCACATAAGGCGAGTTGAATGTACTTTTTATTTCTTTATGTTCTTTGTGCAGTCAAGTTCTGAAATCTAACGTTTCATGCCACAAGACTTTTAAGGGAAATGCACTACTAGGAAAATGTAAAATTGATGACAACTGGCAGTGGATGTTTCTGCTAGTTAAATCTACCTACTTATTGCTACAAGTATATGTAACCTTTTTTTTTCAGGTCGCCCCTGTTAAGGATTACCTCCCAAAAGCCTGTCCCCATGGAAACAGCCTAATACTGGACAGCGAGGTATTTTGTTTTGTTTGCTATTTTTTGGTATCTCCTCAGTTGTCACGAAACTTTGAACTGTGTTATCGTGGACCTCCTAACCAGTAATTTTAATATTGTCCCATTTGAGATTTTATGAACATTTATGATAATATATTTTTTTGGATTGGTATACAAGTTTGCAACCATAGGTAATTATTATTAAATACTAGTTTTTCAAATAAAGTAAACTATTTTAGTAAACTAAAATTGGTGGCCTGCAGGTTAGATTAATATGTGTTTGGTATTGTGGGCAGGTTCTACTAGTGGATAACAAGACTAGCAAACCTCTTCCGTTTGGAACTCTGGGCATCCATAAGGTATATTTGTTATTAAAATGTTTCATATGTCTTAATTTATGTGCACTTGATAACAATTTAATTATATTTCTTGTATCTACAGAGGTTTCTACCATGTTTAGTGTATATAAAATTACAACTATTGATAAGAAAAGGCCAATTTCAATATATTGAAATTCTAACGTGGCAGCTCAGAGCCAAGTTAGAATTTTTTGTATATATCGATATTGGCCAATCTGTAATTGTTTTGTTTAAAAATGCGTTGAAGATTATGCATTGTATGGTTTTCTTTTTCTTTTCTTTTTTTTCCCAGAAATCAGCATTTAAAGATGCCAGTGTGTGTTTATTTATCTTTGATTGTCTCCAGTTTAATGATGAAAATCTTATGAAAAAGTAAGTTGTTTGAGTTGTATGTTATGTTGTTGTATTCGCTCCAACGAAGAGCTAACGCTTGAAACATCAGCTTTCAAATCTCTTTACAGTGGCCAATTCACATTATCAACCCAGTTGATAAAACCAAATTATCTTGTTATACTCCCCACTGACGCAGCACCACAGTTTCTTTAGAAACTTACCCCTTCTATCTATTTGTTTGAGTCTTGTCAGGCCATTTAGACATTTTTCATTTTCTACAAAACATTTTTACACTTCGGTGGACTGAGACAACCCTGAGAGAGTAGTCATCAATGCATGCCTGATCTGACTTCCAAAGCAGTGTCTTTGAAATACATATTTAAGCTTTATGCTTGTCAGAGAGTTAATGATGATGTTTTAATTTAGGAGTATGAAAGAGAGACGACAAGTTTTGGAGAAGAATGTCACTGTCATCCCAAATAAAATCATGTTATCAGAAACAAATTTCTTGAAGGTATATCTGTAAAAATTGCTGTATGGGCACTGAATATTACATTTTTTTTACACTTGCATGCATTTCAGTTTGATTATTGTACAGCTTGAGTTTGTACAGCTTGCACAGCTTGTTCAGCTTTCTATCCAGTTCAAACTACAGTGAACTTATTGACAAATGAAATAACCACTTTCTATTGTGAATTACATGTTCAGTATTCAGTCTCTTTAGATGTACTTCTTGTTAGTGAAGCTCATTGTAACTATGAAGACTGACACAAAGTTATGTATGGTTTAAGAAAACAGTAGAGTTTTCAGAATAATGCCTTAGAATTTTACTTATGGTTGTTTTGGTTTCATTCCTTGCAGACAGAAAAAGAACTGTCAAAGTTAATGTCAAAAGCCATGAAAGAGGGCCTTGAAGGACTCATGCTCAAGGATGTTAACGTAATTAGTACCTTGATTTGTTACAAAGTTATATTTTACAGTCGTTGATCAGTAAGTTGTATTACATCACTTTAAAATCAGATTTCTGTAAACATCTCAAGTTGTAAACATTTTTTGCAAATCAGGTAATTATGTGGACTTTGATCTTATGTGCTACAACCACCATGTCTTTCATCTTACACTAATTCAGAATTACTTTTTACAAACTGTGTAAACTGTTTCAAGGTACATGCGATGTATGGTGGTGCAAATTTACTAATTGAACCTGTGTGTTAAACATTGCTTGCTTTCAGGGTATCTATGAACCAGGAAAGCGACACTGGCTGAAGGTATTACCATGATTGTAAATATATAATTCCAGGTAGGCAAGGTAGTGGTTAGTGCATTTTGTCTCTGGATACATGGTTTGATTGCTACCGAGTGTTCATACAGCAGACAAAATAGTTTCCATACAGGCAGCAAAATAGTACACTTAATTTTACCTTATGAGCCAAAGCATTGTTAAAGGCCGGGTCACGTGGATTGTAAACAACACTGTCAATAACAGATCAATATTGTTTTTGTCTACACAGTCTTACCCAGTGTAACATTCTGATCAGGAAATCTCTTCTAAATATATTTGTTTTTTTGCAGATGAAGAAAGATTATCTTGAAGAGGGTGCCATGGCAGATACTGCTGACTTGGTGGTACTGGGGGCTTATTATGGCACAGGGAACAAAGGTAAAATGTCGTCAGATTACAATGGTAATGACTTGTCAACTTTTCTGATATTTCAATCCAGATGTTTTTCATATGTACCGTAAAATTGTACAGTTAGAACGTACAGAATGCATTACCTTGTGCTGCAAGAATTGCGTCTCCATTCACAGTGACATCCTAACTTTAAATTGTGCATATGCAGCCAATTATCGGAGGTGGGATGACGAGGTTATTAAAACAAAAATAGCTAAAAAAAATATTAAACTGAACGTGAAATAACTAAGAAGGATTATTTTGAAAAAAAAAAAATGGATATTTAGCCCTCGCCAGAAATCAAATCAATATGTAGATAGATTAAATACGTAAGTAACCAAAAAAATAATTTAGATCGATTCGCTCTTTGTAGTCTCAAATTTTCTCATTCATTTTTTTTGTGTCCTTTGTTCTTGTTGTCTTGTTCTTGTGTAGTTTCCTTTTTTTGTCACTTGTAGTATAACATAAGCTATTGATGTCAATTTAATAGCCATTGATTAATTTTAAGCCAATTTTTGACAAACTGATGTGAGCCATTGAATGGAAATAAAAATGTGAAAAAATGTTTTATTAACATGCAACCTTCTTTGTTGGTCTGATAAATTGTGCCCAAACTCCTTAGTGTGAAGCTTTCAACTGCTCATGTCTCACACCATTCTTTACATTCGATGTTCCTTGTAATCCTTGCAGGTGGGTTGATGTCAATCTTTCTGATGGGAGTCTGGGATCCAGCAACTAAACAGTGGTGTACAGTGGCCAAGTGCGGCAATGGTCATGATGATAAGACCATTGAGAAACTCAACAGAGAACTTAAAATGAAGAAAATCAGCAAGGTGTGAAATTTGAATTATATGATGTGAAATCTTGTAATCATTTTACATGACCATGTACAGATCAACACCTAAAGAATGTTTTATGAGGTGTCCACATAACGGGAAAAATAAGTCTGTATACAAGTCAAGTGGTATATCAGGCCCGAGCTTATTCAGGGTTCTGTAGCATGAAGTGACTAGGAATATTTCTACTCCCCCCTGGATGGGATGCTAGTCCATCGCAGGGTTACCCCCAGCATTAAATTTGCTGGTACCCATTTATACACCTGGGTGGAGAGAGGCACTGTGAGAGTAAAGTGTCCTGCCCAAGAACACAAACAGTGTCCTTGGCCAGGGCTCGAACCCAGACCACACGATCCAGAGTTGAGAGCACTAACCATGAGGCCACTGCACCTTCACACATAACGGAAAGGGTCGTTATATTTTCCTTGGTCTTTGCTTGAAAAAAAAATATATATATATTAAAATAAATGAAGCCTTGGTTAGCAGTTGTATTTCAGGGAATAAACCACGCAATTCATTTGATGGATGATACATCAAACATTTCTCAGAGCAACATAAAAGGAATGTCTGACAGTCAGTGGGAAGGAATTAATTGATTGATTTGTGATTTCGTATTTAGGACCCTTCCAAGGTTCCTTCCTGGCTAAATATCCATCGCAGTTTGGTTCCTGACTTTATTATTGAGGATCCAAAGGTACACATTGTATCAGGTTATGTTACGGGTTTATTACGGGCAGTTGAACTGTGTTAGACATGCTTAGGTTTTTTTCCTTGATGTTCGGTTTTTCATCAATGGTTGTCTTCTTTCCTGTTTAAATAAGCACAAGCATTATAGATCTCCCAAACACTCCGTCAGTGAATTTACAGTTGTCCCGAGTTTTCCTGATTGGCCGAGTCTCTTATCGAGTTAATAGGGGGGGGGGNGGGGTGGTATAAAGAAAAACAAGGATCTCAGGGAAAGGGTAGGGATCTATAAGCAGAGGCAATCACTTTTATTCATTGTGGTGGGTTCCAAGCTTGTATAAAAGATTTAACCTCAAACTAATGGCCGTAAGATTAATTTTATTTTTTTTCATATACGTTCCAACACGCTTCAAGTGTTAGATACAAATTGTCTATAAATTTTTGCTGGTTACCCTCACGTTCTGAAGTTTTTTTTTGTTCTCTTCAGAAAGCCCCAGTGTGGGAGATAACAGGAGCAGAATTCAGTAAATCAACCACACACACTGCGCATGGAATATCTATTAGATTTCCTCGTGTGACACGGATCAGAGATGACAAGGACTGGAAAACTGCAAATGATTTGCCACATCTGAAGGTACAGTATTTCACATCGATCTATTCCTTTGGTCTCGTTTATTCGGTGAAGCCTCTTGTTTTCTTCTCATGCTGTTTTTGTGAACCTTTATACAGGTTTTATTCGAGAACTCGAGAGCTTCAACCAGTAAGTAGTCATTACATTGCTGTACAGAATTGAAACAAACACGTTACCATTTTTTTAGAGCAGTCCAGATAACGCTCCACTTGCTCGCTTAATATTGTATATGAGTTAGAAAACCTTTGGAACTTGAGCTCATACATGCACGTATAAGGTTGAAAGGAGCTATGTCACGGTTTTCGCATCTCTGAAAGTTTAGCCTAAAGTTTTCAAGTGCGTCGTTTGTAATCCGTGTTACTCTTCTCCATCCGTAGCCATGCCTGTACCTCTATGATTTACTATTGTCTCTGTGTTGTTTTTCTATCTTAGTAAACTTTTATTTTCAGGGTTCGTTTGATTTAAAGGTAATTTTGTACGTGGCCAAAATAACTCAAAATACCGTGACTGGGCTCTTTTAAAGGTATACATGGACACACGTGTTAAGTGAGTCCCTGTGTTTAGATGGCTTGTGTAGCTGAATAACGAAGTGTTGCCTCGCGGTAGATATAGCAGACTTGGAAAACAATGATGACGATGACGATGATGGAAATGATGATGGTGATGACATAAAGGACGATGGTGACGACCTTCCATCAAAGGATGAGGAGATGAAGAGTGAAACAGTAACTGCTGAGACACCGTCTAAAGCTAAAACAGAAACAAGAAAGAGAAAAGTAGTGGATTCTGAAGAAGGATCGCCTAATAAAAAGGTGTGATATTAAATATCTTTCATTTGATTTTTGGTAGGACCAGTAAAAACCTTTCTTTCCGCGTGCTCAGTTTTTCCGATCAAGAGACGCCGGAGACTCGACCCCTATTCCTTGCAGCTGCTGATGACGTAGATCCGTACAGTGTCTCTGATTGGTTGAATCTTGGTTTTCAATTTTCGCACACAGATATCGACCAATCAACTCTTCTGTGCAACTACGTCAGTGGAGCTGACCAATCAGAGTACTTCCCCTGGAGCTATCATATGAGTTTTTTGGGCGTACTTTCTAGCGGGGAAAGAATTCAGTGCTAACGAATGGCTCACTTGAATTATGTTTACTTTAATCCATTCTCGTTAGAAATCTTCTGATGTAATCTTAAGTATGATCCCTGATATTTAGTAAGAAGTATATTGATGGTAAAATATCTTGCTGGCTAAAGCTGTGGACAACGCGTTCATTTGAAGTTTTTGTTTATCCTCAGTCGAAGCCGGCCTGCAAGTACGGATCAAAATGCTATCAAAAAAACGAGGATCACCATCAGAGATTCACTCATCCACAAGTGAGTATTTGGTACAGGGACATGAAAACATGTAGTGAAAACTATCCTGGAATCAGAAAAGAATTTTCCATTTTGTATATTTTGTTTCAATTTTTTTACGCTGTTTCGCCCAATGAATTTTGGTAGTTGTGGCTTCAAAATCAGTAGGTCATTTCCTAGTTGTCTTTGGCCTCTTTGTCAAAACGAGTCTTCGTGCAAAATCATTGATATGAAAATGAGTTTCGCGTACATGTTCATTTTCATACAAATCAAACTCATTTTCATATGAAGGGTTTTGCTCGAAGACTCGTTTTGAAACAGAGGCGCCAGGTAACTTGGAAATGGCCTATTCATCCACGTGAAAGCACCCCCATTTCCCCCCCAAATAAGGGGAGGAATTCGGGAAGTTTTGTTTCTCGTATTAGGTTTAGAATGTTGTTCACGAAAGTCTCACCTTTCGCTGTTTTCTTGATATTCTCAGTTCAGAAGTCCCAGGAAATATCCTGAATAGAAAAGCGTACTCTTTCCCCGTGCAACTGGTTTCCTCCATTCATTTGTGTAAATTTCATTTCTGAATGTTGAACTTTTTCATCGTTAATTCAATGTTTTCTCTTTTTTGCAGGACCTTGAGAGCGACGTTAGCCCGAGTAAGCAGATGGCAAGTTAGAGAATATATTTTACTTGTACTTCAGTATTGCGCTTGATGTTTAAAAATTTTACAGGCAATCGTGAAGACAGTTGGCTGAATTAAGAAACTGCCACCGCGCTTGTCAGATGCTAATGTAAATTCCATAATAGAGAACTTGAAGGTCCCTACTGATTTGAATGTTTTGCTTTCCTGAAAATGAATGTCTCCTTCCTTGCCACCTGGTTTTAAATCGTTTTTTTTTTTTACCATGTTTATAAGCGGTTTTTTTAACACACTCATTACTGTTGTTTTTTTCTGCAGATTTTGAAGGATGTTTTTCGTGGACTGACGATATTTCTCTCAAAAGATCTCGAGGACTTGGCAAAACTCAAAAGATATGTCATTGCGTATCCTTTGATTTAAATTCCAGTTATTCAATGAATTAGGTTTTTGTCTTTGCGGCACTTCGAAGTAGAAAGTCAACCAAGTATTTAAGCAAGCATGTAAGCAAGGTGTGTTTGCCTTTTCCGCAATTCCTGGTTCGTTTTCTTAACATAATTCCTGTAGTTACGACGGAGATTTGGTGGAGGAGTTTGAAAAGGCGAGTGCGACTCACATTGTCATTGACACCAAGGTAACAAGGAACCCAAAGTTATTTGCGTACTCGAAATCTATGTGTTAATGGCCGTAAGAAATCTCGAGAGGAAGTTACAGCTGCTTTGACAGTACGAAATTACCGCTGCTGTGACTGTAACGTACTGTCACCTTGCTTGGTGACACTACGTTACAGGCATGTAACGTGCGTCTTTGAAGAGCTGGAAATGAGAAGAACGAGATAAACATAGCACTATGTTCGCAAATTGTAACTCACGGAGATAAAAACATTTTGAAAACAGCGTTTTCACTATGCAAACCCATCAAATGTTTTCCGTCCACACCGCTGTGCCGGAGAAATTTGAAAACGCGACAATCACCCGTCATATTTGGATTTGTGTTTGAGGAAAACTCGGGCATGAAAATCACGTGATTATCGTGACGTCAATGTTTTCCAAAAGCTCCGTTTACAAAATGTTTTCCCTCCACACTAAATCGCTAAGTCAGTGTATTCAAATTCCTTCGGTTTGAAGAGCGTTTTCGAGAAGCTGCGTTTCCGTGACGGATTAGTGTGAACGGTAGGCCTGACCTAGAAATAAAGCTGTTTTTTTCAAATTTCTCCGGCGTAATGCGGACAGTGCCTCTTAAGCGGTGTTTTCATCTCCCCTACATTAAATGAGTTACCAGTAAACTGGAAATCTAATGTTTTCGTATCATAAAGTTGATTTTCCTTCTTACTCATTCAGGATGGTCACACAGTGGAAGGCTCGGCCAGCCTTGTTACGCCAGCATGGATTTGGAAGTGTATCAAAAAAGGACGTGTCGTGTCCGTAAATAAATTTACACTTTGAAATGTGTTGGTGAAGATTCCACTGCAAGTGACACAGTAGAAGCCGGATACTCGAGCTGAAAATACCATATTAATGTCGGAAGTAACTCCGTGGAGATGATTGCGGAGTGGAGTGTTTCTGATTGGTTGTTGAATTTTCGCGCCAAAATAACAGCCAATCAGATGTTACACGGATCAGTGCACAGCTTCCCGAATTTTTGGGATTTAATCTCAGAAGTTACTTCAGAAAAGACACTTCAGTACGAGCGAAGGACACGTCTGTTAAACGAGACTGGGAATTAATTGATATCGTAACATAAGAATTTATTTATTGTACCAGACTGAATACCCTCTATGTTTGTGCGAAACCCAACAGATGCGAAGCGAAATTCCACACAATACAAGCCACTTGTACGACACATGGCCGAAGTTTATGCAATAAACACATTAAATTCTAACATTGTTTAAGCCTATGTTACTTTTCAAATGCCACGCTTTGATTTTTCATAGACCGCTCTACGGTAAAAATCCCGGGATAGCAATCCCCATCGCATTTTAAGAGTCGCTGTGAGAAGAATAATACAGGCAGGTCCCAGAATATTTTGTAGACTACACTTTTGCTCAGTCGCGGATATTTTTCGCGTCACGCTCGACGGACTAAACGAAAGAGGGACTACTCGTAGTCTACAGAATTTGCTTTCTATGTTAACTGTCACGACAACCTCTACTGGACGCGTACTAATAGAAACAGCGGATGTAGACATTTTTGTATTGTCAGGAATTCGGGTGAAAGGGTTTGCGTGTTTTCTTTGTCGTTATTTCTTGGACGTGCAAGGATATTCCTAGTTCGTAATTCAAAAGTGTAAATCGTCATCTGAAGTTTTCCGAAACAATAACTGCTTGATTAGTTGTGATTTGCAGTCAACGTTTTACGACAGATATCAAGGGATGAGATGGAGTAAATGCAATGTGAGGCATGTTGACATACTTATTTTAAGTATAATTAAATTGCTTAAACAACACCGTTTTTTCTTTTCTTTTCTTGTTTTTTGTTTAGTGTTTTTTTCTTGCGGGAAAAGTCGGATAATCCCGCGCGAGCATGATAGCTCCATTTTGCGCACTCGTGCACGTCATATTAAAGGAAGGTTTCACGAAAAGCTACCAGGGGGTTCAAGAGCACACCACAACGAAAACAGCAATGGCAATCTCGCTTGCTGGTAACCTTTTAGGGGAACTGGTAAAGTATTTGTTTTCCTTACTTCACAATGCAAGAACACGTCTCTCAAGACTTCCTAATGCCACTGGATTTGGCAAAACAAACACGGCCTTATAAAGACTAACCTACGTGACACGCGCGCTGGGGCTACTTGGGCTAACATAAGTAATTAAACCGCACCGATTGAATGTCAACCACGCGTAAGAAAACAACTCCAATATCATTCTAACTTATTTACTTGGAAGTCAATAAGATTCCAACCTCGCCAAACTAAAATATCTTCGAAAGTATTGACTTCGAATTCAACTTGAGTTTATTAGTTAATTCCACGATGGGTGGCCTCACTTGAGGAATTTCAAAAATATGTTATTGAAAAAAAAACTAATTCAAAGTTAACGTTAAAATAAGCGATGTTAAGTTCATGCACAGCTAACGGAAAAAGTACGCACTTAAAAACCCAGCCTACATTGTCTGATCTCCAATGGTTATTGTTCGCGATAGCTTAATTAAGCCAGGATTGGATCGAAAACGAATGTTAGTTAAAATTTCCTTAAAACCAGTTCAGATGACCCGCATAATTAAAGAAAAAAAAATTATAGTTTTGTTATCTTTAATTGAGTCATGTACATTTTGTAGATCAAAAGCTATAGTTTTTCACCTACCCTTGATTCAAGTACTGTGATGCATTAAATTGGAGTTCTACAAAGTTGAGTGTTTTGTTTTTTTCATGAAAAAAGCTATCCAGTTGAACTGGACCGTGAAAAAATAACATATGTTTTCAAAACATCAAGTGAGTGACGCACTGGTTTTTTGAAATTTACTGAAAAAGCGTCCGCGCTAGTCAATTCTTTAATTGAGTATTGAGCGAGGTTACATACTTCAGACGTAAAAACTTTTTTCCGCTATTCTTATCGCCACATAATTGAACACACAACGAATGTTGGTTTTTTTTGTTTTTTTGTTTTCGTTAATTCATGCACCAGTGGAAAGCGATACTGAAGATGGAGTATTTTCTCGTGCTAAATGTCTACAATGTATTTAATGGCAAACTAAAATAACCGGGAACTCGGAGTTTTTATTTGCTATTTTGCGAGGAGCAAAAAGCCCCGACCTAATTAGCTACGTGTATCAAACTGATTTGACATAACCACATAACTAATATGTTGACGAAATTGTCTGATACGTCGTGTTACTGATCACAGTGTGTAGCACCCCAAACGCCTTCACGGGTCCATTTTGACAGTATTTCTTTTTCAACTTTGTTGTACGTAGCAAGTTTGCGGCACACTGACAGATAGTGTTGTTATGAATATTTCCTTCATTGACCATGCAAGCTTGGTCGGTCAAGATGGATCGATATTAGCCTCGTTCATTTTCCGGTGTATGGACCTCGATTGTGCCTGGCTCCATACTGAAACATGCAAAAGAACTTGGCCAATATCCCGCCATAGTGATCACACTTGATCAATAATCCATATTTGATGAATTATTATATACAGGAAGTTGCTCTAACTTGTGAGAGCAGGTTTCGTTCTCAATAGAGCTCTACTTAAGTAGGCTCATTCAGCACTGAACTACTTTGTGATGCCTTCTTTGCAGCCTTCGATTTTAAAAGGGGTGCGTCAATAAAACGCACATTCCGCTGGAAAGTACTGTAAGGTTGAATTAAAATCCGCGAAGAGATCACCAGTATTGAACCGAGGAGGCCTGACTCAAAAAATTTCCCAACATTTCGCTCAAATAAAAATAAACGTCTTAGGCCTTAATTAAGACCCAACAGATCCCTGCTAATGTATCTTAATGTCAGACCAGGATTCCATAACACGTTTCTCCTTTGAGTGGAAACTTGACGGCTGTATTCACTCTAAAGAATAGAAAAACTGCTGACGCACTCGCGTTCCGCTTGTGCTTCCACTAGCAGTTTTTCTTGACCTCAAACGTGAATTTGTTTTTCTTAGAGAAGATGGAACTCCATCTTCTGTTTGGTTAATAGAAGGACTTTGGAGCACTTGTAGGCTTTGAATGTGTGATTACAAATAAGTACAAAAAACAAATCCCATAATAAATCTCCAGTTTTATAACTCTTGTATAGTTGAAATATCGCCCCAAATTTAACACTGATTCGAGCCGCCCACCTTCGAATTCTCTGCAAGAAAAATATCAATGTAGCATAGGAGAATCAATTACCCTTTGTGTAAAGATGAAATGGAGAGACGAATTACACTAGTTGGTATACATTGAAAAAAAAAGTCACAAGTGTACGTATGGAAGTCAAAATCTTTAAGGATTTACTTAAGAATATTTCATTGGAATGAAAAGCTACACCTCGCTAATAAATTTGAAAAATAGAATTCTTAACTGCAAATATTGGCGGTCAATTTTAACCAGGTAGCAATTAATGGATGTTTGCTCTCCTGAAAAACACTTCATTTAGGATTGTGGTCACGTTTGTTGTGCTTATGGACTACGCCAATATTTAACGATGGGGTAAGCGAGAAAAAACCTAAAACGTTTGATACATTTAATAACCGGAAGTGAATAGAATTTTAATGGGGTTTTGCGGCTTAAACAAAGCGTTCTCAAAAGTGTTGACCAAATTCTGCTTTATTATCTTGAGAACGTGAACAACTACATGCCGTAAACCTCCGAAAGTAAGGAACCTCGCTACTTTCGGAATTAGCAGCCTTTGGGGCTCGTTACTCTCGGGTGGTCTTTACTTTCGAGGGGTCGTTACTTTCGGGGAGTTAAATAACGTTATATAAAGTTGGTACAACTGGACACTTCTTCCAGTTTAAATCTATATTGCTGCCATATGGGTGAGCTCTTCATGATCATGTCTACTGAGACCGCGTTGTCAGTAGTCGACAGGTTAGCTACTGAGTTAGATATCATAAACTGTTTGTACTTCATAACGCACTGTTATACGTTAGTTCGCTGTAACGATATCTCATTGTGTTGGTCGAGCTTTCAAAACAAATCTGAAGAAACGTTCCTTTTAATTCGCTCCTGTTTCCTATATTACGTTCCGGTTACTTGATAAAAATTATACGGGTTTTGTTTTGACACGGCGCAACATACATTTTATAAGCTTCGTCGCATAAGCAATACCTTCCCTTGTTGTAGAGTAACTTAAAATTACAATACGCAACCTTCGCCTGACTCTTAAGAAAACTAAACATACTACTGAACCTTGGTTGGAGAATGGGGGTGGTTGGGGGTAGGTTCGCTACTTTCGGGGGGTCGCTACTCTCGGGAGTTATTAGCGGCCAGAATTTTTGACGTTACTTTCGGGGGGTTGCTACTCTCGGAAGTTTACGGAAACGAGACTTTTAAGTGGCTTTTTTCAGTTGAATTCAGTCTTGTATGTCTTGTTTATTCATTTTTTGCCCGGTAGCTCAATCAGTGGATAGACAAACTGAATGACTTAGGATCGAGTATTGCGAGATACGTTCTAAGCTAAATATAAAAGCATAATTGACGTTGCTGTCGAAGTCGCTGTGGCAGGCTTATGGAAGATGATTATTTGATCCGTTTAAAAGCACAGAGACAAAAAAGATTTGGCACATTTAATTTATTAACTCCTTCTACCAGCAGATGAATAGATTTACTAGAATACAATATTGTGGCAAAAACGGATAAAACTAACTACAACTGGGAATTGACATTCAACTCTTTAACGAAAAATATTAACAAAAAAGGCGTCGGGGCTGCTTGAATTTGCAGCTTACTAAGTGTGACGTTTTCTCTGCCCTTTCCTAGAGGTTTAGATCTTAAGCTTCCACGGACAGTTCCTTCGTTGCGTTCTTCTTGATTCGCATGCGGAACACCATGGCAGCGACTGCAATGATCAGGAGCACCACCATAGCGCTTCCCAGAGCAGAATACAGGATTATGTGACTGTTTTCCTGAGGACGGACCACTTCAGAGATGGTACCAGCTTGTTGCTTGTTCACATCACTACCCATGTTGGGAAAAACTTGCACAACGATCTCCACATACTCCTTGTTCAGATGGCCGTGAACGAACTCTGCCATTACACTCTCAAACGGCTGGCATCGGTATTCTCTTAAACATTGCAGAAGATATTGGCATATCTGATGGAGTTGGTCGACCCAGTGTGGAACCATCGCTGTCTCATTGTCGTGGTAGGCAGAAGGATCAAACCAGAAATAGTGAGTGTGGTTGGTAACTCGTCGTATTGCAGACATCAAGATGATATACTCACTCCAGGTCAGCTCACGCGGACA